CTGCAGGAAGCACCAGAGTCAGTCAGTACACTGACGACAGCATCCAACATGGCCGCCCCAACGTGACAAAACAACAAACAACTGAAGGAACAACATTAGCAACGTTAGCTTAGCTACAGAGAATAAATCAAACCTTTAAACTTATTATGATGCTGCACTTTTTAACTTTAGAGAAACAGAGGTCACTGGAGGACATGAGTCATTTCAACCAATCAGGACTCAGTCTGAACATGAGGTTTAAATATAATGTTCATATCTGTTTAACTTACTGAAGAATCAGATTTTTTTATGTTACTTTTTTTGGACAATAAACATTTATCTCTTCTATATTCTATATTTGGTGCTTTTGTATGTTTGTATTTAAAGCCATAAATTTGACTTAACTGGAGTTTAAATTCATAAATCAGAGAATATAGTTATATTTGCATCATCTCTGTGAGGACGGAGAGAATTAAGAAGTGTGGGAGGTGTTTCAGAGAACAATCATTTTTATGTTCCTCTCATTTATTTATTTGGCTCCTAGAAACATGTTGATGGTTCAGTCTTACACGACGTTTCCCAGTAGCCTTTATTCAGGAGGAGGAAAGTAGGGATTAGGTGTGTGTGTGTGTGTGTGTGTGTGTGTGTGTGTGTGTGTGTGTGTGTGTGTGTGTGTGTGTGTGTGTGGACCACATGGATGTAAATCTTCTTATCAATCCTCTTTACTTTCCTCTGTCGGACACTGACAGAGACTCTGCTGCTTTGTCTCTGATACTGAAGCTCCGACAGACGTTACAACATTTCACATTCACTGTAACTTAATTTAATAATGTGTATTTTATTATGAAATCCAGGTGTGGTGTGGTCTGAGGAGTGATACGTTCTGTGGCCGTCGGTTGTTGTGTTCACATCAGTTCCTCTGGTGACTCATTAACAGTTTGTTTGAGCTGCAGTTAGACTTTAACAGTTATATTTAGCCTCACCTGTTTGATTAAACATGAAACACTCAGACCGTTTGTGAGTCTGTGACTTTACTGTGATTTGATTAAACAAAGTGTTTCATCTCAAAAACAAATGATTGAACCAGGAAGCAGGGAGACTTCACCTGCAGCTCCATTAATACCAGCTCACCTGGAGGGAACAGAAACAGTGGTCAGTGTATGTTTACCATCACCACACCTTCCTTTGTTAACGCAGGGCGCTGTGGTCACATGGGCTCTTACCTGGTCAGGTGGGCCTGCTTCTGTGTGACTCATAGGTCGGTATACACAGGTGTGACATGTGCTTTATTTGGAGCCTTCGGTTCAGGATGTGAGTGGGTGTGTCCTTGTTTCCTTGTTCAATCGTTTTTTCTTAAAATCAGATTTAAAAAGTCATAAACGAATGAGCAGCTGTTCTGATACATGTACAAACTGTTTTAAAGGAAACATCAAACATTTTGATTCTCACTTCTTAAACCTGAAGATTTGTTGCTTTTATTGGTCTTAGATTTTAGTGAATTGACAAAAGAACAGGTTTGATGAAGTGACTTTTCGCTCCAGAGTTTTATATCAGACGAAGTTTCACAGAGCAAATGATTCACTGAGAAAACGCTGAGTTAATGAATGTCCCTTCAGAAAAGTAAAAGTTCACAGTGTGTTTGTGAACAGACGTTAATCGGCGTCGGTGTGTGTTCTGTTTGTCCTCTGCTGTGTTTGATCTGGATGACATCAGAGGTCACATGACTCCACCTGTCTTATCTGTGTCAGCCGGGCAGAGTAAACACACGTCGCGTTTCACGCTCTGAGCTGAATGTGAAGCAGCTCGCTGCAGATGGTGGAGGTCTGTGTTACTATGGAAACGCCTCACAGCCCGTCTCAGTGGGAATGCGGTTGTCACACAAACACACAGTCAGCTGTTTGGTGTTGTCATGGCAACTGACATTTCGTTGAAGTGCAGTTGCAAATGTGTATAGATTTACCTGCACACTGTCCTTCAGAGGCTCCTGTGTAAATGTGAGATTCACTGTCCTTCAGTTACATGGGAATTTACAGTGTGTGCTGTTCATGAGCCTCAGTTATGACACATTTAATTTTATATGTCAGTATGTGAATTTGTGATGCATCCCATGGACACAAATATACATTATACAGGGTTTCCCACAGGGTGAGAGTTTACCTGTGGTGGCTAGGTGTGTGACAGAGACTGATGGAGGTTAGAGGGGGAGAGTGTAACTGGTTATTATCTGTAGCTACAATTTACAGATGTCCCCTAAACACCTCACTTGCAAACCGGTAGACGTTACTTTATACAGATGTCTCGTAAACACCTCACTTACAGGCTATTGGTAGACACTATAATTTACCGATGTTCCCTAAACGCCTCGCCTGCAGACAGTAGACCCAGCTGCACAGAGAAGCTTCTGGTTAGTTTGAAGAGTGAAATAAAGTTCTAATGTAAAATTAACCTGAGAGGAAACAGTGATTTTACCTGGACAGAGAGCAGTGATGTCACAGCTCTAACAGGTGTACATGTTACACACCTGCTGCATCATATCAGATGGTGTCATTGGACACACCTGCTGGACACATCACACACGTCATCATGTAGTCAAGGTTAAACCAGACTGTGTTGACAGAAGTGAACACACACACACACACACACACACACACACACACACACACACACACACCTGTTCCTGTGTGGAGGAGAAACAGCTGACGAATCTCTGTCATTATGACTTTTTTAAGGGTTGGAAATATTTCATAATTTACTTAGTAATTAATCAATCAATCAATCAATCGTTTGTTGGGGACTGTTTTCAGCGGCGGATGAATCCACATTAGGCGCCGTAGTGAGTGCTGAGGTACCGTGTGGATCAGGAATCAGATATCACAGTCTGTGAGCAGGAGACACTGATGATGGTTACATGATAAGATAATAGGATGTTATCAGAGTGGGAGGAGTCAAAGGAGACACTTCCTGTTGGACTGTGTGTTATCATCAGATAAATCCAGGAAGTGTTTCTCTTCCTGTGCTGTCAATCAGGAAGTGTACTGTACAGGTGAGACTCCACCCAGGACAAACAGGTGATAAAGAGCGGATCTCTCTGTGACTCATGTGACATCTATAGGTGTGACCTTTGACCTCTGCAGTCAGTCTGAAGTGAAGTGTGTGTGTGTGTGTGTGTGTGTGTGTGTGTGTGTGTGTGTGTGTGTGTGTGTGTCTGTGTGTGTGTGTGTCTGTGTGTGTGTGTGTGTGTGTGTGTGGCAGTGATCACCTAAAGCTTCATTCTGAGGATGAGTCTGTTGGACGACTGATGACTGCGTCGGACGGGCTGTGTTTTATTTTGAAAGGTCAGCTGGGAGGAAATGTCGCACTCACTGTCTCGCTGCAGATTAAAGTTTAGAAAGATTTAAAGCAGAGAAGAAGAGCGAGTGCTGACACGTGATGAGCTGGGAGCAGCGTTTATTAATCGATTATCAGTAATTCATGGTGTGAACTGTTCGACTGCAGCTGAATCAGAATTTGACAGATGTTTATTGTTAATCCAGATGTTTGTGAAACAGCTGTTCTGCTGGTTCTGGTGGTTTTTGTCAGACCCAGTTCTTGCTCAGACAGTAACGAGCCTGAGCTTCTTCCTCCCCGAGCGTCGCCTCACAGGTTGTCACTGCAGTGTCGTCGTCATGGATACCGGGTCCAAGATGGAGTCCCGGCTGAATAAAACATGGCGTCCTGGGAAAAGTAATCACACGTGTGTGACTCTGAGCTGCTCCTGGATCAGCCCTCAGCCTCTTTTGTTGCTGCTCTTTTCATTTCTCTGCTGCTGCTGCTCAGACGTTTAATGATCTGTTAACGAGGCAGAGATGAGAACGACCTTTGACCCTGATCTGACTATCTGAAGAAGAACTCAGTGTCCTGATTCCTCATGTTTGGTTTCCACACAGTCAGGATTTACTGGAACTACAGTACAACATGTTCAGATACAAAAATACAGAAGGAAATAAAACTGGAGCCGTCTGGAAATATTTCAGTATTTATCCATTTTAATCGGACTTTAATTTACTCTGTGTTGTGTCTCATTCCCAGTTCTTTTTAAACATTTTCTCTTTTACTCTTTTCCATGATGAAAATGTCTTGGACAATTTCCAGCCACTGCAATTTTACCCATCAATCTATAATCAATAATCCATAAAGTGAAAACGTGTTTATCAAAAATGTTTTTTCTAATTTATTAAAAATCAAAAACTGAAATGTGATTTCATAAAGACTTCAGACTGTGTCAGGTGGATCCTGGTCTGATACAGATAGTGATTGATCGATCACTGATCACTGTGATATTGATGAGGCTGAAAGGTCGATGTGCTCTGAAGATCAGAGACTGAAAACACTGACTCAACTAAACTAAATTAAATTAAACTTAATTAAACTGAACTGATGATGAGGATGATGAAGATGCTGATGAGGATGATGAAGATGATGATGATGGTGATGATGATGATGATGGTGATGGTGAGGATGATGATGATGGTGATGAGGATGATGGCGATGATGATGATGATGATAATGATGGTGGTGATGATGAGGATGAGGATGATGATGGTGATGATGATGATGATGATGATGATGATGAAGATGATGATGATGGTGATGAGGATGATGGTGATGATGATGACGATGATGATGATGATGATGAAGATGATGATGATGGTGATGAGGATGATGGTGATGATGATGACGATGATGATGATGATGATGAAGATGATGATGATGGTGATGAGGATGATGGTGATGATGATGACGATGATGATGATGATGATGAAGATGATGATGATGGTGATGAGGATGATGGTGATGATGATGACGATGATGATGATGATGATGAAGATGATGATGATGGTGATGAGGATGATGGTGATGATGATGACGATGATGATGATGATGATGAAGATGATGATGATGGTGATGAGGATGATGGTGATGATGATGACGATGATGATGATGATGATGATGGTGATGATGATGATGCTGCTCTCTTCCAGCTGACGGTCCACTGTGAAGCAGCATGAACGGATATGAAGCTCCAGCTCTCGCCTCCGGCATCTTCAGCTCCTACAGCTCACACCTCAAGTCAGTTTCTCATGTTCATCCTCGTTTACCTTAAGTTGATTAGTCATCAGTGACATCATTAGTGATGTCATCAAGGTATTTTAACTGAATATTGAAGTTCAGATGTTTCTACCTCAAAAAACCGTCAAAACCTTATCGTCTTTAAATTAAAGGCATAGAGTCAGAGATGGTTTAAACACATTAAAATCACTCATATATTATAATTCATTAAATTAGACATTATTTTGTACATTTCCAAGATATTTAGCCCCTGAAAAATCCTAATACCTGCAGGAAACCCCTTAGAAATCAGTTTAATAACAATTTTATAACATCTAAATCATCTTTAATTAAATTAATTGTTATATTTTATTATAATTATATGAATTATTATAATTACATTACATTATTTCTTTAATGGATTTGATTGAATTAAGGAGGAAATCATGAACCTTTATGATTTCAAATGAAGGTGGTTTTATGGATTTAGTTTTTCAAATTAAAAGTCAAATGAAAGAGTCACTGCCCTGGTTTATGTTAAAGTTTTTCTGTTTTAATTTGAAGGTGACGTCTCGGTCAGGTGATGACAGGTGTAAAGCTACAACTGAGTCTGACTGATAAATACTGTTGCAGCTCAGTTTCTATCTAAGAAAGCCTTAAATTAATATTTAATGACAAGTGTCATTTAAGAAGCAGCTTCACTCTGAGGTGGAGGGGGGTCTGTCTCCCCCAGGAGGTGGACCTGAAGTAAAGGATGTAGTCTGGGTTCAGGTCTAAGTCTCTGAGTCCAGACTTTGGTTCCGAACAGACTCTGTGACCCAGTGAAACCTGACCCCCCCTCCTCCTGACACTCATTGATCCTCTCATTTAATCGCCTCTGATGATTTCCCAAAGTCAATGTGGCTTCAGGCTGCACACAATCAGGTCAGTGTACCGGAGAGGAGCTGATCCAGGAGCTGATCCAGCAGCTGGTCAATGACCCACACAGACGTTTGATCTGTGGCTGGTTCAACTTCAGCTGCGATACAAGAATAAATAAGAAGAACCACCTCCGTTTAAACAGGAGGTCAGAATGAAAGACAGCAGCAGGTGAAAATAAAAGGAAAAAACATCCTGAACATCAGAACCACACGTGTTTTTCTCTTATTTATCACTTATCTTTATTGATTTTGAACACTGCGCATCACTTTTCCACAGGAGAGTTACACAACTTTAAATAATGACGTTAATATGAAATTTTTCTTGTTGGATTTGACGAGGATATTTTGTTGTGTATCTTTTTGTATCTGGCGCATTTAAAACCAAAGATTTAAAGTTGAAGAGTTTCTGAAATTTCTGGAGAAACGTGTTTAAATGAAGTTGTGTTCAGAAACGTCAGGTCAGAGCTGCACCAATGAGCCGATAGATAAACGTCTGTTCGTCCTGACGCCGTGTCACGTGACACCATCAGGTCATGTGACTCCTCTGATGTGAGCGGTTTCCTCTGCGGCTTTAAATAATGAAGAGAACTGATCAGTCAGTTTTCAGTGTTTACAGTCTGTCGTTCACTCATTCATCTTTCATGTCGTCATCAGTCAGAACAGAGTGAACGTGTGAAAGTGTCACTGTTTAACCATTTTCTGACATTTTATAAACTAAAAGATGAAACTGGAGAAATGATCAGCAGATTAATCAATAATGAATATTAATAAATGTTTGTCTCTGTGTGTTTGTGTTGAAGTGGCCACGACTCTGAGTCTCCTGAGCCTCCGACAACTAAAGCCAAGTCCAGTGCCAAAGCTCTGTACGGTGAGTCCAGCTTTTATTTTGATAGAGTCATCAGATGTGGTTCGGTGTCATTATAAAACCAGCTGCAAACACACAAAAATCATCAGTTTATTAAACTATGTAAAACATTATAATACAGATATTAACCCTCACATACTGTTCATGTTTCTGCCTTCACAGTAAGAGCTCCCTCATAATAAGTGTCTGTAGTGAGTCTTGAACTACAGATCTATGTAGAAAGTATAAACAGCCTCTCTGACATTAATACATGGAGGATTAATCCTTAATTAATGTGTCAGAGCAGGGAGAGAGTATTTTTGAGGTTTTCATCACTGGTTTTTGGAGAAAAACATCTAGTGCACCGTCTGTCTGCTGCCATAACCTCAGTCAGTGAAGTGGCAGCTCAGGTGCCTTTATCATCTCCTGACCCAGATTCAGGCTAAAAGACATTTATGGTATTTTTACTGCTGTTAAATGTCAGAACAGGTCAAAGTTGACCTGAACAGTGTGTAAGGGTTAAACAGAATGTTATTATTCTTTATTCTCAGGTAATCAGCTCACACATCTGCAAAATGTTGAACATAAGAAACACAAAGTGCAGGACTTATTTTCATTCAGTGTATGAACGATAAAAAACACAAGTATATAAATGACTTCCTATAACACACAGTTTAAGTTTGGTAACTTGTTCCAGTTTGTTGGCTTGAAGCTGTAAACACAGTCCTCAGACCTGGATCTGGTCTGATAGACCACTAAGTAACCAACAGATGGTTTCGGCGGGAAACATCTGACCAATGACCATCAGAGTTCACTGAGGTCTAACTGTGATCTGGTTTCTCCTCGTGAACAGGATCAGAGGAAATTTATTTCCTCCGCTCGTCCTCCAAACAGAAAAAGAAAAGTCACAGTGAGCTGTGTGTGTGTGTGTGTGTGTGTGTGTGTGTGTGTGTGTGTGTGTGTGTGTGTGTGTGAACAGCTGGGTTTTTTCTTTGCTCTTTGGACATCAGATTCTTGTTCAGATGTTTTTAAATCAGTTTGAATCTGTGTTGAAACTGATCTGAGTTCAGTCCTTAGTCTTTAAATTAAATGTTATTACACACACACACACACACACACACACACACACACAT